GTTTTGCCATGCTGCTCACCAACACTGTCATCTATTTCTTTCCATAGAGCTTTGATTTCTCTGGACTTTATTTTAGCTTTATTCCTTTCTGCTCTACATAAATCTACTTCACTAGCTGGGCCTAAGCAGCAGGTTATTTTGCTGACCTCTAACAAGGCTTCTGAATTCACAGCACGGTCCTTGCAGCCCACAGGCCAGCTTGGATCTTGATAATCGCTTTAGGAAAAGAAACTCCCTCTTTGAGACCATGTATGGCCAACCCTGGGAGGGCAATGGGAGAGCTTGGTTGCTGCAGAGGGAAGCCTGTCACGTTTTTAGCAAACATCCCAAAAGGAAAAGTTAGAACTTCGGTGTGCCCTGAGTGCAGCACAGCAGCATTCTGCATCAGCCCCTTCCTCCAGCAGGGCAGACGTGCAGCGAATGCATTATTGCCTACACACGGCACTTCAGCTCCTGGTTGCCACTAGTTGCTAACAAACCAGCATTATTTTTCACCCATTGCCAGCTGTGCGTCACAACTTGTGAGGTGCCCCACTTGCACTCTGACAGCACCCCGACCTATTTATATCCCCACAGGCAGCTCCCAGCACTACCCCAGGCGGCTGCTGACTGCACACAGACAGCCCAGCTCTCATGTTCCTCCTCCCACACCCTGGACACCGGACCCGCATGCCTGCAGCACCCAGCTGCAGCCCAAAGGCAGAGTATGACGCACACCACAGGGCATGGGGCTGCACCCAGCTCTGCAGGCCCCACACAACCCCACTGCAGCAGCCCTGCACTGGCAGGTGGGCAGTAGTGTGGGGCAGAGCAGAGCAGATCCAGCTCCCCACCACGCAGCAGCTGCACTCCTAAATCCAGTGCTGGGCCCCAGCCGAGCAGCATTGCTTCTCCATGAGATGGCTGTCACACTCCTTGCCCCCGAGACCCAAACACAGCAGCACTGTGTGCTTTGCTTGTCTCACAGCAGCACCCATCACTGTCCATCTCCATGTTTAGCTTTGGTGAAAGCTCAGCTTGAATGCCCATTACCAGGACGTGGCTATTGAAGCCTGTCCCAGTGCAGCAGCCAGGGCTGCCATCTGCCCAACACCTCCCACTCATTCACCTCACAGCATTTGTCCCATCTCTACCAGTGCCATTTACCCTCACACAGCCTCACGGGTTTGCATGGTTATTTCCCACCCATTTTGCTACTGTCTCATAGAATGCCATAGGATGCTTTAAGGGACCTTTAAGATCACCTCGTTCCCACCCCCTGCTATAGGCAGGGATACCTCCCTCTCGACCAGGTTGCTCACAGTCTCATCCAGCCTCGCCTTCAGTGCTGCCAGGAAGGGGGCATCCTCAACCTCTCCATGCAACCTGCTCCAGTGACACCCACACAGTGTGTGCTGAGGACACCTACAAACTACACCACAGCAGCTTTAGCCAAGGATGTGTCAGCCCCCAGAGCCCCCCCCAGGCCACGGGGTCCCTCCAGCACAGCCCCTTTAAGGGCACCGATGCAACACAACATTAATTTTAGCCTGGAGCACAGCCAGGGCGTGGGGCAGCTGCTCAGCTCTCACAGCCTGCCCTCTGCACTGCCCCAGCACTGCAGCCAGCAGCACCAGAGCCATGGCTGAGGAACAGAGAGAGCTGGAGGAGAGGATCATCATCAAGGACCAGCACATCAAGGAGATCGACCTGGTGAACAGAGATCCAAAGAGGATCAACGAAGACGTTGTAAAGGTAAGGACTTCCTGAGCACTGCTTTTAGGACACTAGCTCCCTCCCCATTGCACGGAGTGTAAGCAGCCAGGGCTCCATCGCTGCCACAAGGGCAGGGGCTGCACTGCAGGTGGTGGGGGGAGAAGAACAGCCACAGCCTCTGGCCCCACAGTGCACATGGCCCCATTGATGCTGTAGTTCTATTCCTTGAATGTCCTGCCCGTCTCCACGGGCCTGAAAACATTTGGGGCTGCCCTCACTGGTCACAGCAGTGGGTAGCCAAAAATAAAATGGGGTCAGCCCATACCACTGCTTGAAAGGGAACCTTTGAAAAAAGTTGAGAAGTTGCTAATGTTCAAGGCTCAGCAGTCCGAGCAGCAGAGCACTGAGATGAGCACTGTCCTGTTTGCAAGAAGACCGTTTCCCCTGCATGCCAGCATAGAGTGCAGCAACCCGCCTCTATTTTTGATCAAAAGGAGCACATGTCTCTGAAAAGGGAGAGGAGAGAGAGGAAAGGGAAAAGAAAAGCCTCTTCCTAAGCACTGGCCACTGAAACTTGTCTGCTCTGTCAGTCATGTAATGGGATTTGTTAGACTAACACTGGGGTAAGGTTGGCCCAAAGTAGGGCAGGAGGAGAGGGATGAGTTTTATTAAAACTACTTTGAGATCAAAGCACATGGCACACCAGGAGGGATGGCACAGCCCAAACTGCTCACAAAACTTCTGAGCAAGCTGTGACCTCGATGGCAGCAGCAAAAAGCATTTGTGTGCTGAAACGCTTTGTTTTCCAGCTGAAACCCAGGCAGTGCCCTGAGGGGCTGCGCAGTGACAGCCAGAGCTGGGCACTCTGCAGGGGGAGGTGTGCCTGCAGGCCCTGACCGCTGCCCACCTCGTGCAGAGCTGCTGGGGATAAGGGCCAGCTGTGGGAAGGGGATGCAGGGCAGGAGCAGCACCCAGCGCCTGCAGCAAGGCCCTCTCCCCAGCCACAGGCCATTCCCATCCCCTTTTCCTACTCAAGCTCCAAAAACCCTGCAGAGGATTTTCCAGCCCACCAACTCATGTAATTACGCTACTTCCTCTGCTTTCAAAGCATTTGATGAAGCCACCTCACATTCTTCCAGCCCCAAAAATAGACCAGATGATAAGCTGGGCAGGGAAAGGCACAGCCACAGCCCCGGCACTGCTGTGCCCTGGAACAGCATGGGCAGCCAAAGCCTGGGCAACAGCACACCAGAAAACACCCTGGGCGTACATCAGAGCCATACAGGGAGGGGCAGCAGCCTCGCAGGCAGAAGGGCACCCACCTGCAGGCAGCAAATTCCTGTCACACACACAGCAGCACGTAGCAAAACCCTGAAGCCTCCAACCTCCTCCCAGCCACGAGGCACGATGTGCAGGTGGTGCCTGGGGGCACTCGCTGAAGGCTGTGGGACAGAGCCCAGCTCAGGATTCAGCCGGTGTCCAATCTCTCCTCAATGGCCCCTCCTGATACATAGGAAGCAAAAGGAAGAGAGAAGGACAGACTCCTTCTTATAGGCTGCCGCTGCCCTCACTAATTATCCCCTGATTAGCTGGCCAGGCAGCTGGAACCTGTTTGGATCTCGGCTGGGCAGGGTCTGGAGGGGAGGGGGGCTGCTCATCTGTGCCCGCCTGCACCCACCCACAGGGCTGTTCTTTCCCAGCCCATGTCAGTGTCTGTCCTGGTGCCTGCTGCCAGCCCCAGGAAATTCAAGGTGATGCAGAATGATCTTATGATCAAAGAGCTTCCAAAAACAGAAGAGATGTTGCAGTTGGACATAAATGCATAAGCAGACATGTCAGCCTAACCAAGGAAAGGTGCTTTTTCTGAAGAGAATTGGCTTGGTTCATGCATTCCCTAAAAATGGCTTCCAACGCAGTGAGGTCTGTGCATGATTTGGAGGCTTTTAGGAATATTTGCAATGCAGAGATGCTCCCAATGGCCGCGTATAGCAATGATATCCCTGCAAGGACATGGCCAGGCTGATCCCTCCCTCTTCAGCAGAATGCAAACAGGCAGAACTGGGTATCTCGCCTCTAGATGTATAATAAGAAAATTGTAGATCAGGAGGACCGTGGGGTTTTACAGACACCTCCTGCGTGTGGGCAGCTTATGTCCTTGAATGCTAAAAGAACATAGGAATGGGCTCTGGCTTCCTTAAGTATGGCTGTGCCCACCCCTGCCTGTGGCCATGTCCTGTGCCTGTGGGCACGGTGCAGTGCTGGGCACGAGGCCCCTCCAGCCTGGGCATCACATCTGTGCTCACCCTGTGATGGAACCACTCCCTCCCCTGAGCTGTCCCTGCACACAGCAGCTCCTGCACCTTGCTTTGTGCCAACACTCCCTCTCTCCATCCCATGCCAGGTGGATTTCGAGGATGTGATAGCTGAGCCCGTGGGGACGTATAGCTTTGATGGTGTCTGGAAAAGCAGCTACACCACCTTCACCGTCAGCAAGTATTGGTGCTACCGGCTGCTCTCGGCCGTGCTGGGCATCCCCCTGGCTGTGGTCTGGGGCTTCCTCTTCGCCCTCATCTCTTTCTGCCATATCTGGGCGGTGGTGCCCTGCATCAAGAGCTACCTGATCGAGATCCAGTGCGTCAGCCGCATCTACTCCCTCTGCATCCACACCTTCTGTGACCCGCTCTTTGAGGCGCTCTCCAAGATCTGCAGTAACGTCAGGGTTGTGCTGCGGAAGGAAACCTAAATCCCAGCAGCACCACAACCGCCGCGCTGTGCCGGTCCCCGAGCAGCCACAGTGCAACCACAGCAGTCGGGTCTCTGCTGCAGTGCTGGGGCTCTGGGCACAGCTGTCCTTGGGATGTCAAGGACACGGAGGCACTTGTGTGCTCTACTGGTGCTGCCCAAAGCGCTGTGCTGAACCAGGGCCCAGGAGGTCTCTCTGTTAAGATATTATTCTCAATTTATTCTTCCCTCGGCTCCCAACAAGTACTTGAGGCCAAAGTCTCTCCCAGTGTGATGCCATGGAGAGAGGCATAGTTTGCGTGGTGCTCCTCTGCTGTGGGGTCGTGGAGCTCTGCTGCCCTTAGCAACATAGCACTGACACTGCACAGCACTGTGCCTCGGGGTGTCTGCATGTAATAAAGGATATTTGAATGTTTGTAGGAAAAAAAATGTTTCTGAAAACACTTTATCACAGGTATTTTTTTAAAGGTTTTTGTTGGAATAAAAATAATTTAAAGCCATGTTGGAATTATATTCTTTTTAGCGTGTAGCCGTTGTTCTACTTGTTCCCACCCCAAGCCGAATCCCAGCCCAGCTCCCACCACCTCCCATCCCTACAGCCCCACAAGCAGCACACACTGCCCTGCTGCAGTGCCTCTGATTCCCTTTGGCCCTTTGAGACTGTGGTTGGTGTCCTGTGGCGACAAATCCCTGGACCCCACCCTGCCCTGCCCCACTGCCGGGAGAAAGAAGATGAACATGGGGGAAAAAAGGCTTCGGAAACACCTTAAATCAGTCTGGTGGAAGGTGCTGAGATGGGCTGTGTGTGCTGACAGCCCACTTGAAGCTCCTGGAAAAACATGGAAAGAAACGCCACAACATGGCAGGTGACAATGTATGTGTTGGTGACAGTGAAAAAAGAAACTGGTACAGATTTCAGTGCGCTTTTTGTACCCACTCCCAACACTAAGGCTGAGCCTTGCTGCACCCACGGGGTTGCAGGCAGTGAGGGGAGCAGCACTGGGCCCCCCTCAGCACCGCCTCATGCAGCCCATGGAGCACTGCACACAGCACTCAGCACACCGCCCTGTGCTCAGCAGCACCCTCACACCATGTGAAATGCATCACAGCCATCCATGGCCTTCGTCCTTAGGCACAGTCCTCCTCCCGCACCTCCCCTCCATCAAGACACGGTCAGAAAGTTTTATTTACAGGTATTCCTTAACAATTAAAAAACCCATGCTGTGAGCATGACTTTGTGCGTTACAAAGCAAGAAGGTTGCATTGGTGGAAAAGATCAAACGCTATCAGCTGCAAACCCAGAAAAGTGCTTGGCCTCGGGGGACCAGATGGCAGCTTCTCAACCCCACGGAGCCCACTGTAACCCAAATGCCTTAGGAGAAGCCTGGAGCACGCTCAGCAGATGTATTATTGCACAGATCCCCAGTCCCATGCTGGCATTACTCCTGCCAGCCCGCGGTGCCCACCCTCAGCCCCGTCCCAGATGAGCTCCGTGCAGGAGGGGCTCTGATGATGTTCCGTGCATTAAAGCCACCAGTGGGAACGGGCTCATGTGCTGCTCAGCCCCGCACAGCCCTGAGCACGGAGCTCCCCTCGCCGCTGCCCAGCCCGACGCCGCGCGCTGCCCGCGCTCTCCCGCACACACGTCTGTACACCTACATATTTACACTGCACTCCCCTCTCACAGTCCCAGCGTTTCCCAGCACTTGGCCCGGTGTGTCCTCACGTGGCGGGCGGCTGCGCCAGGCTGTGCTGGCTGCTGCTGCGGCAGCTGAGCACGAAGGAGGACGAATGGCTCTTCCTGCCCACGCTCAGCTCGCAGGCCGGCCGAGCCTTCAGGTACCGCGCGGAGCAGCAGAGGAAGCGCCGCATCAGGTCGTGGAACAGGTGCCCTGTGTACAGCATGTAGATCCAGGGGTTGCAGCAGCTGTTGAGGCTGGCCAGCAGCATGGCGATGATGAAGGGAGAGGCTGCAAGGCAGAAAGCGTGTCAGGGTGCGGGGCATGAGGAATTCCCCTGTGGGCCCTCAGCTCCTGCGCTGCCGCTGTGAACGCAAACACCGGGAGGAGGGCAGAGCCATGGCCACAGCACCGCGCTGGCACGGCACGAAGCGCTTTCCCTCCCAAGAGCCCAGAGCTCAGACTGGCCCCATCCCATCAGAACAGGGCTGCGGACCCACAGCCGTGCCATCCCCCAGCTCTGTGCCCCCGCCCTGATCTCCCTGTGCCCTGCTGGAAGCACCGGCAGCGAGGTGTCTGGCTTGGGTCTGGCTGTGCCTGTTCCCTCTCCGCTTCAGCCAAAACGCACTCACACCTCTGAAACCAGAAGAAAAGCACAAACTGTGGGTCTAGTTTCCAAATTCACCTTTAACCCGCTCACCCACAGTTCCTGCTCTAGTGACAACTGCTCCAGCTGCTCTTCATCAATAAAGTAAAGGGAAACTGCTGAAAACCCGTGGTGAGAGAACTGAGGCACATCACAGCATTTCAATCCACTTTAGAAAAAAAGATATAAATCCATCTTTCGCCAACTCAGCTCTTCTGCCTCTGGTGCTGATAAATTGCACTTCATAGTGCACGGCTGCACCATTGGAAGGGGCCCCCAGGAGCACCTCGAGAGCCAGCTCGGCCTGCCAAGGCAAGGGCTGGGGACATTATGTGGCAGGGATAGGGATGTCACATGGAGGGACTCCCTGCTCTGTTCAGGGGCCAGCAGAGGCAGACACGGCCGCAGTCTGTGAGCAGCTGCAGCTGGGAGACCGGTGCTCCGTGCAGCCCTCGGACGAAGCACCAGCGTGTTTGCTCGCTGATGGGTCAGGAGAAGCCCTGGGGCTGCGGGTTGGACACACAGTGAAAGGGAAAGACACGGCATCGTCAGCGTCTGAAAATCAGACATTCGGGCTAGACTTCATTAGATAGAAAACCAAGAGAGAGCTGTCGGGAGCATCCGGGAGGGCTTAAAAAGCTGTGCTGAACATCCACACCTGCAATAAGTGAGCAGAGAGAAGCAAGAAAGGCACAGCGAGGGCGGCTGGAGCCGGGCAGGAGAGCTGCTCCGGCGGCTGGGAGGGCACACGCAGGGCCGCGGGGACATCGCGGTGCCACCAACAGCCCGTTACTGGCAGGCGGGCGGACCGGACACAGCCGCAGAGCACAGAGCCGCAGCCCGGTGTTGGCCTCCGGCAGCCCCACACTGCGCACTGCCGCTGGTGCCCAAAGAGCTGCCCCTGAGCGCACTTTGCTGTCCTTCCTCGCAGCTCACAAAGTTGTGCAGAGCTTTTCCGCACGCGGCTTTTCCCAGACGCGGGGACGCTCCCCGTGCAGGGGCAGCAGCGGCTCGCACAGCACGCGGATCTGAGCCGGGCGGTGAGTCTCACTGCTTGCAGCCCCGGGGACGGCAGCAGCAGCCAGCACCGAGCTTAAAATATAGCAAAGCAGTGACACCGCACCCAGGAGGCAAAACCTTGCACTTAACTCAGAGGGCTTTTGGACGACCTGTGCTCCATCCAGAGCCATACAGAAGCAGCACAGTGCCCGGGCGGGTGGGAACAGAGGGGAGGGACGGGAGGGAAGAAGAGTTGGAAACAAAGAATCAGCGGCGACAGAGCGGTACCGCAGGAAAAAAAAGGATTCGGCACGGGAGACACGCGGCTCCAGTGAGGGGAGCGCAGGGGCAGCCGCTGCCGCCTCTCCCGGTGCTGTTCCACGCTCAGAACCTCTCCTCGCCCCCCACAGGCCCCCGAGACGTTGCTGTCTCTCTCAGCCCCCGGCCCGGACCGCCGCAGTCTCTGCACGCACACAGCCGGGGGGGAGGACGTACCTTCCTGCGGAGCGTTGGTGTCCCACACCGACCACATCTGCACGAAGAAGAAGGGCGTCCAGCACACGATGAACGCCAGCACGATGATGAAGGTCATTTTGACCGTCCGGATCTTGGCTTTGGAGATGAGCCGCGTGCTGCTGACCCTGGCAAACGCCGCTCCGCCGCGGGCGGTGGAGCTCAGCCCCCCGGGGGGCCCGTGGGCCGTCTTCAGCTTCACGTTCTGCCAGATTTTGAAGCTGATTAAGCCGTAGCAGACGCTCAGCATCAACACTGGGATGATGTAGACCATGAGGGTTATCCAGGTGACATAGGCTTTGGGTCCCCAGGGCTGGATGAAGTCAGCCCAGCAGTCGTACACTCCGTTCCCCACATCCCGCAGGGAAAAGATGTGGATCTGGGGGATGCTGACCAGCAGGCACAGCAGCCAGGTGAGCAGGACGGAGACCCGGTCCGCCCGCCTATGCAGGGACCGCAGCGGCTGACAGATGGCCAAGCAGCGGTCCAGGGACATCAGCAGGAGCATGTAGGTGGAGGCGAACATCCCCACCACCTGCAAGTACTTGATCAGCCGGCAAAGGAAGTCGGGGCCGTAGAACCTGAAGGTGATGTCCCATATGAGCTGGGGCAGGACCTGGAAAACGGCCACCACCAGGTCAGCGATGCTCAGGTGCTTCATGAAGAAGTACATGCGGGAGTGCTTCTGCCGGGTGGTGTGGATGGCCAGCAGCACGCACAGGTTGCCGCTCAGGGCGAGGAAGAGGATGAGGCAGAGCACGGTCACCTCCACCTTGGCCATGTCCTCGTTCCTCTTCAGGGGGTCCGCGGTGCCGTTCCTGACGGTCGCCCTGTCCTCGGGCTGCAGGCTGCCGTTCCCCAGCGTGCCGTTGGCCCACAGGCCGCTCCCCGCCAGGTACAACTTCTCCATGGCCGCCCCGCATAGAGCCGAGCACCTCTCGGCCCCTCACGACCCCGCTCCCCGCAGCGCCGCGTCCCCCCCGGGCGGCTGTGCCCGGAGAGCCCCCCGGCAGCCGCCCCCCCCCGGCCCCACCCGAGTCTCCCGCCGCATCCGCAGCCCGCGGACCCGACGCGACAGCAACGCGCGAGGAGCGGCACGCGGGGGGGCCGGCAGAGGAGCGCAGCGCCGTCCGGCCGGCAATCACCGGCCCCGCCGCTGCCGCACGCGGCTCCAGCGCGAGGAGCGCGGAGAGGACCCCCAGCCCCGGGCGGGGCGGGGATAGGGATGGGGATGGGGAGGGGGCCGGCTCCGTCCCGCCCCGCCCGCGGGCACGGATGGGACCGAGGTGGGTCCCGCCCGCTCGGAGCTGCCGCGAGAGGGAGCGGCAGCGCCGCGCCGTGCAGCCCCCGACCCCGATCCGCACTCGGGGAGCTCCGGCCGGGGGGGACCCAAGGAGGATCCCCTCTGCGCGGCGGCCGGCAGCGGCGGTTTTGGGCTCTGACGCTGGAAAAGAGCGGCGCGTCCCTGAGCGATGCTGGGTTCGGGGCTCTCCGCCGGGGTGTCCCCGTGCATCGGGGGGAGCGGATGGCAGCTGCGCGCCGCTGCTCGCGCTGTGCTGCCTGGCAGCCGGAGCGGCGGCGACCCCCGAGGAGTTTTGCTTTCGAGATTATCTGCGAGTACTGCTAAATCACCGCTAGAAAGGAAAAAATACGCGGCCACGTTCGATACCGTTTGCCGTCAGTGCCGACCTCAGCCCTCGCTTGGCGGGGCACAGCAGTGTTTTCTCAGGGCTCGCTGCCCCGCACGGCTGCAGCACCGCGCACCTCTGCCTGCCTTTCCCCGCAGCAGCGGCCACGCGGGGCCCCCCGGCACCTTTTCACCGCGCAGCCCCGAGCGGCCTCCCAGCACAGCGCTGCCGCCGTCCCACCGCGCTGCTCCCCGACAGCCCCGCCGCTCCCACCCTTCGGCCCCGAATAAACATCCCCGCAGTTATTTTTAAAGATTTTTGGGAACCTTTTGCTCTGTGCGAGATGTAAAAATGTTAAACGCTTTGGCAAGTTCTTCCCTCCAGGGTTCACGCTTTTCCTCCTCCGGGCAATAAAACACTGTGGGAATCGCTGAGGATTGCAGCTCACCATGGGCAATTCGTTTTTTTTTTTTTTTTTTTTTTTTTTTTTTTTTTTTTTTTTTTTTTTTTTCCCTCGTTCTGCCTTTTTCAGGAGAGTTCTGTAGAAGGAAGGGACCTCGGCGAGATCCTGGCTGTGGTGGAGTCAGGGAGAGCTCTGAGCTGCCTTCGGGTTCGGCGCTGCTCCTTCGGCGTCCCGCTCCAGCTGCAGGTTGTGCTGGGGGCGGGTTGGGGCGGCCGCGCTGCTGCCACACACCTGAGGTGTGGACCCTGGGATGGAGCAGCATTGCCCACTCCGTGCTGTCAGAGGGGCATCAGCCCCAGCTACAAGGAGCTCTTCGTGGGATAGGATGGAGCTCCTGGATGCAGATCACAGCCTGTGCTGCTTCTGGTGCCCGGGGAGCTCTGCCGGGCTCGTTCCGTTTGTCTCCTTGCCAACGCCAAACCTGATGCTATGTCCATTCTGATCTAAAGGTGCAGGAGGGACCTACTGAGCTGCTGAGGAGAAGGGCTGCACTCCTGGTTGTCCAAACACGGGCTTTAAGGTGTGAAAGGTTTCCATCAGCCGCACTTGGAATGTGCTGGCTCTGGGTGAGGCTCCATGCTGACATCTGCACAGAGCACTGCGTGGGCTGCAGAGCCAGGCCAGGGGCTGAATGCTCTGCATCCACACCCTGGCAGAGCAGCAGGGAGTGCCTGTGGCCCCTGCCAGAGGGCTGTGATTTACTTCTCCCCACCACAGAGGGGGATCAAACCAGGAGAGCAGGTGCTGCAAGCCACATGCTACACGTGCACCCTGAAGGGAAGCCTGCAGCCCTTCACTGGCACAGGGGTACCGCAGCACTGCCTGCAGCTTTCCTCTCCCATCTCCTGTGCACCCTCAGCTCCCAGCAGGCACATCCCTCAGGTTTGGGGCTGGACAGCCCCACTCAGAGCTCTGCCTTCATGAGGCCTGCCTACAGTGAGCAGCGCAGACAGCATCTCCATCCATATGAGTTTCTCCTCTCCCGGGTGGCTCAGAGACATGCGTCACTCACTGGGTTTTGGCACCTGCCCCACCTATTATACAATATCTGACTCTCCCACGTGTTTCCTCATCTATTACCCCGAGTTTTGGCTGTCACCACTTGGCAGCTGACATGTTGTTTTACCAAGCCACAAAGATTCACCCAAAAGCAAAGTGCTTCAGCAGAGAATGAGTTCCTGCAGTGTCCCAGGGTGCTCCCCAAGCAGTGGGACCTGCAGTGCTGCACGAGGACAGGCGGTCACCTTCACCATGTGCAGCTCTTCTCACAGCTGTGGGCTGAGACCGAGCCCAGCACTCACTGGTGGGGGCCATGCTGTTCTATCCCTGCCCTGTCCCATCCCTGTGCCACCCTTCCCAGCCCAGCTGGGCAGCTCTCCTCACCTCCAGGGCTGAGCAGTGCTGCTGTCCCTTTGGTGTGCAGAGCAGAAGGTGCAGCGGGCAGAAATCACAGGACTTGTTCTTTTGAACTTTCCCCTCATCAGCTTTTTCAGTTCCTGTTTAAGGGAAACCCCGACCCATCCTCAGAACCACTAATTCCAGTCAAAACAAACTTCCTCTGCAGTTGCCAGCTGCCATAATGAATTATTTCACGGTGCCCATAAATGCTGCTTTGAGCAGCTGAGGCTGTCAGCATCAGATGTGAACCAGCTCCCACAGGTATCTCCCCGGCAGGACCCGGCCCTGCACGGCACGGAGCGGCGCCTGCAGGCACGGCAGATGGGCAGCTCCCACCCCGACAACAGCAGCGCAGTCACTGAGAAATCAGAACCCTCTGCTGATAGCTGCACGTGGCTGCTGCCTGCTGCTGTGCATGCTGCAGGAGCCCTTCTGACCGTGCAGCTCCAAACCCCGTTTCTGAAAGGCACCGCTGCTTTGTGTTTATCCCCTTCGAAAGGGGAACAGCAGGAGATGCGTGAGAGCCCGGTGCAGTTCCATCACGCTACCCACACGTCAACTTTCTGGCACCAGTTAGTGAGGGCACGGTGCGGCTGGGCGGCACGGTGGGACATCCGCAGCTGCTCTGCACGATGCCATGAGAGGGTCCGGCCGTGGGGCTGCAGCTACAGCCTGCGATGTCTGCGTGGGAAGGGGACCGCAGGAGCAGGACGTGCCGCTCCGCAGCACCGGGAGCACCGACCCACTGCCAGCCCAGCGCGGGGACGGAGCGGGGATACCCCGCAGCTCCATCTGCAGGCAGAGCTCCCGGCAATGAGGAAACAAACAAACAGCGCTGAGGCAAAGAGGCCTGAGAGAATCACAGGGTTTTCTGAGTCACCCCCCGCTCCTTCCAGCTTTAATACATCTACAACGCCGCCGAGCTGGGAAGATATTTATTTTAAAAATACATGCGTTGGAATAATCAAAAGCGCCAAGGCTAAATTTAATTTCAATTTACTGCAGCATCCGAAATAGCAGTTTTTCCAATAGCTCTCTGGAATCCCAACTTTACAGCCCCCATGGCACACGGGTCTGGCAATGCTTCAGGTCCCAGCCATGGCCGCTCAGGCGCAGCTCTCACCCACGGCTGCAGCCATTGCAGGCGCTGTGCAGTGGGACGGGATGCTCACCTGCTGCTCCTGCCCGCTCCCTCCTGCCTACCCCGTGTCCCTGGCACTCAGCCTGCAGGAGGCCCGGCTTTGGTGACTTCCCTACAGACACTGAGATGTGTGTTCCTGTGCACACACTGCCCAGAAAAGGCAGAACACTGCTGTGGTAACAAAACTGCTGAATGTTATCATATTTAGATGAGGGTGGCGAATGAGGATAGAGAAAAGAATGGTTCTCCTGTGCTTCACAGGTGGGCACAGGAATAACGTGGCAGCCGTGACTGAAATCCCTATGGATCAATCCATCGGTGCTCTGATCTCCTAGCAATACAAAATACAGCATTACTGCATCCAGAACACCCACTGAAAGTCCATTATGTCAGTGAGCTCTGTGATGTGGGATAACATTACCCACAATTAGGGCCTGTGATGAGGGACAGCATTACACACCTGGAGGTGCAGGAAAGGTTGGCCCTGGGACGTGCTGTGTCACAGTGCATGTGACCCCATCCGACCTCCCAGGCACACCCCAGGGCACAGCAGTGTGCCACCAATGAGAAAGGCTCCATCCCACACTGTTAGCAGCAAACAAACCCAAGGAAGAACAGAGCAGAACCGCCATCATTCCAGCATTCCTGCTCCACGCCACGCGCAGCTGCAGCTCTGCGCAGCAGCTGTGCCAGGAGCGGATCTGCCTTTGGAATCTGCATCAAAGCATTACTTGGAGGGGAAAAGCTGCAGGGACCGACTGCACACAGACAGGTGCTGCAGTCTCAGGGCTTCTCAACAGAAGAGAACTTGCACGAGTTCCTGCTGTGCATCAGGACCATTTCTTCCCTCCCTCCCTTCATTTATCTGGGAACACTGAGTCCCAGCCGCCAGCGCAGAGCGCTCCGTGCTGAGATCCGTTTCCATCGTGTCACTTGAGGTTCAAGGGAGTCAAACCATTTCCTCCAGAGGAATCCCCTCCTTCTGAAAGCCTCTGCTCCCGCGGTCTGAACACTGCTGGCATCAAGCCAGCACCGTCACCAATTACCTCAGTAACCATCCCCAGTAAGAAGGCAGTACTGCACGTGGGACCTCCTGAAGGTGCACTTCTCGTGTGTGCGCCTCTGTACCAAATCAAACTCGGTTATCCCAAATCACTGCTAAAAAAGGAAATCTGAAAACGCGGCCCAAAATTCAGGACCAATCTGGAGCAGAGGAAAGGGACGGAGGGTTTCGGGTGCTTATGAAGCAGTCAGAACAATGCAGCAGCAAATTCTGTGGGACCTGCAAAACCAGAGCACAAAGTAACATATTCCTGAGCCTCATGTTGGTGCTGTGGGACATCCCCCCACACACAGGTGG